AGCGTGTTTGTGATGTTTTTGAGGTGTGTGAAGGTGGTGAAGATGAGCGTCAGAGATGGAAAAATGGACAGAGATGTGGGTGCGACGTGATAAGTTGGGCAGAGTCGATGTGAGCGAAAATACGAGCGTGTTGGATAGGAGCGTGATTCGAGATGCAGGAGACGTGTAGAAGGAAGGGAGTGACGTCAGAGTCGTGTTCGTTTGGGTATTTTCGTGTCATTTTTGACGGAGGCGTAATATAAATGATGGGGCGAGGGTTGGGTGTGGGTTTGAGCGTGACTAGCTACCTGCGTCCCGATACTACGTAGTAGTATCGCTTTTTTTAATAGAGCGCCTAACGGGGCCCCCATACCCTTGTGAGCATCTTCATTTGAGAGACCCCCAAAAAGAGTGCTCTCCGACGCACACACTTAGCGCATGCACAAACGAACTTAACTAGCAAACGAACTTACTGTACTCGGACCCTGCAAGAAACGAACTTACTGAGAGAAACGAACTTACAGTGAGAAACGAACTTACAGTAAGAAACGAAACTAACGCAAGAAACGAACCTACCATGAGAAACAAACTTACTGCACGAAACGAACTTACAGTGAGAAACGAACTTACAGTGAGAAACGAACTTACAGTGAGAAACGAACTTACAGTGAGAAACGAACTTACAGTGAGAAACGAACTTACAGTGAGAAACGAACTTACAGTGAGAAACGAACTCACGGTGAGAAACGAACTTACGCTGAGAAACGAACTTACGCTGAGAAACGAAACTAACGCAAGAAACGAACCTACCATGAGAAACAAACTTACTGCACGAAACAAACTTACAGTGAGAAACGAACTCACGCTGAGAAACGAACTTACGCTGAGAAACGAACTTACTGCAGGAAACGAACTTACTGTAGGAAACGAACTTAACGTAGTCCAAGTGTATACACAATGCTAGTTCCAAGTGAAGAACAAACTTACTTTAGTCTACGCGTATACAAAAGTAAGTACGCTCATCCGACATGAAGAAACGCACTTAACGGAGGAAACGAACTTACTGTAGTCTACGCGTATACAAATGTAAGTATGCTCATCCCGCATGCAGAAACGAACTTAACGGAGGAAACGAACTTACTGTGGTCTACGCATATACACATTTGAGTATGCTCATCCGACGTGCAGAAACGAACTTACACCCTGAAACGAACTTACCACCAAAAGTGATCTTGTACACATATTCAGACCCACTTACGAGCTGTGGCTGGTTTCATGATCCACAGGGTCATCTACAATCACAGGCAACCATACGACCCAGACACCGTTCCGCATAACCACTTCTATTAGACATACCATACAATTCAAGAGGCAAGCTGACCAGCTGAGAGCAGCTCACGCGTGAGCTGCTGCTTACATAAACAGGCGCCGAAACGAACTCAACAGAGGAAACGAACTTACTGTAGAAAACAAAACAAAAACGAAGTTACTCACACAAGATCATTTACCACGAGCAAAAGGTCAAGGCAACAGCAAAGTGAACTTATACTCTGAACCGAACTTACCACCAAAAGTGACCTTGTACACATATCTCACGAGCTGTGGCTGGTTTCATGATACATAGGGTCGTCTACAATCACAGGCAGTCATACGACCCAGGTGCCATGCTGCATAATAACTTCTATCAGACATACTACACAATTTCAGAGGTAAGCTGACCAGCAGAGAGCAGCTCACGCGTGAGCTGCAGATTACATAAACAGGCGCCTAATTCACGCCACACTCGAGTGGCCCGTCCCTCTCCCATACCCAAGTTCCCACTGATCCACCTGTCCCAGACTAATCGTGCGCACCTGCAAACTGCCCCGTTGAGTCGACAAATCATGAGAAAAATCTATCTGCCGCCCATATTATGGTGCTACGTGCGCCTCGCAGACAGAAACCGGTATTGCGAGTGCAATACCGCGCCCACCAACATCGATGAGGAATCGGCAGCGTGACTGATAGCGCACGGTCCTCTCGTCATTTCGAGCCCGCCACATCGAGATTTGAACCGATATTGAAGACATTATGAGTGATTTTCTGTGAGAGGAATAGCTGAGGGGTAACTCACCGGCTACAATGTCGTCTAAATTGGTCAATGCACCATCGTTTTTCCCCAAACCTTCGATGCGGTAGGCTACTCGTACAATTACCGTTCTATCGAGCCCTAAACGACGATTATTGAGCGAGAAATGAGCAAACGCGAGACGATATTGACGGAGG